CGTTAGGTGCATTATGGAAATGTGAATTTCAAGTTCTTTAATCAATATAAATTTTACTGTATTTTTAGCGAAATTGATTTTCTATATACGTAATAAAATCAAAATTTTAAATGAATATGCTGATAAATAGAAGTACTACTTTTGAAATATTAGAAAATAGAGCTTCAACATTTTTAAGAAAACGAACTTATTCCAAGAATATAGTAGATATACAAAAGAAATCGACTAATTTAATTGTAACAAATGTCTGAAATAGTTCTAATGTAGTTAAATAATTCCATTATTATAACAGATTAAAAAATGTAAGTGTAATCTAACGCTTACGAAATGATCAAATAAAATAATTGTGTGTTTGTTTTTAACAGCTAGCGACGAGAGAAGTTCATTTCGGTCACTCATAACAGTTATAATTGAAAGAAATTGTATTACTTATTAAAACACTTAATTTCTTAATCGTGTTTCGCGAAAAAGTTGTGTTTCGTGTTTCGTCAAAAATCTGTTATTATTATTATATCTGATTACAATTCAACCTTTGAAACGTTTATCAAATTCGCTTTCTTCATTCGTAATGGTTATCTGTTTGATGTAGAATCAACAAGTCTTACTTTCCCGATTACACGTTCATCAGTGCCAAACATCCATCACTTCTTTCCAATCGACGACGCTCAATTTCACCAATCACTGTATCGGTTTCGTCTCAGTCGTAGAGACTATCTCTGAACTTTTTCCGTGTTTTTACCATGGCATGCTGCGAGCTTATGAACGGTTTCGATCCACAAAAAACGTCACCGTTTGAACTACTTCGCTCGTTGGACGTGCCACGAGAGAAATTCGAGTTTAATTGCTCGCGAAATGCGAGTTTGGGGGCGGCCGTGTGTTAACGCCGTTTTCGAAGAGGTTAACGACGGGTTAATGGTTGCAAGCTTAAAAATAACGAGTTTTGAACACGGGGAGTTTAACCGACTGCATGATTTCGAATGCAAGAAGTTTCCCGTGTGCGCAATTAACAGGTTGTTACATATAAAGTGGTACACTTTCTAGATACCTACTTGTGGTATTGTATTAAACTTCATCTGCATTCCATCGAGTACAACGTGTCTCAACACAGTCTTCGAATAATGATTATTCATGAAATCTCTATTATTCATATACTACCGTTATAGCAAAACAAAATTTATAATTTTATAGCGTATTTCGTTATAACAACGTATTTACGAATATTACTTATGAGCAACGTTACCTGCGACTAACAATTCTAACGTCTTTTTTATCTTTGCCACAAAAGAATAAGTAATATACAATATACTGAAGTTCTTCGTGGCATTATCGTATTAACCTGTTAACTATAAAGTTTAATTTCAAACTCTCTTGTTTCGCGTAGTAAAATAAAAAACTAAAGTTTGTATTTTTCAAACGCAGGATGAATGCACCTAGGGTATATTTCAATGAAAAACCAAAGCAAGACAAAGAAGGATTACATGTTTATATGAAAAAAAAAAGAATTCATCGTTGGAAGAATTAGTATTATTTCAAGGCTTAAGATGACGTGCATACTCGTGAAACACAGTTAACTGGTTAAATCAGCGATATTTGATGGACGATCGTTCAGTTTCGTAATTCGAATAATTTGTTCCAGGTCTCCGCGAGTCGGAGGACCCCTCTCGCAGTCGTTAGCGATGATTCCGCCGACGATGCACGGCCACGAATTCAATCAACCTCTGTCGAGGGTGGTTATGGTTCGTAAAACGGATCAAAGGACCTTTAGTAAAGGCAGAAGGGGCGGCGAGCCTCTTCTTGAAACGGTAACCAGGGAAACCGTCGAGCTTTTCAATGGCGGTCGCGCTGAAAGGAAATACACGTCGGAAACCAGAGACATCGTTACGCCAAAGTCAAACAGGTATGTATCGTTTTCTCTGAATTTATTCCATCGAAAGGGAAGAGCAAGCGAAATCAACTTTCCTAAAACGTAAATAAAGTGGTATGTTCGGACGACTGCCTGTTTATGTCTACGCCGGGAAGAAATTCTTTTTACCCGTAAATTCGATTCAATTATTTTTGCAACGGTGACTGTTCACCGATCGCGAAATACGATTTTTATGTATGTACTTTCCGGAGAACATATCACTCGTTCCTGGGTAAGAATTTAGAGGTACAGAAATAGTCGATGTATATTCGTTATTATTTTATTTGGAGTTTGATAGACTATTCTTCGTACGACATATGAATTTTAATTACATACCAGGTTTGGGCGTTATTCGAATAAATTATTCGTTACATAATGGTTAAGATAATATATTATTGTTTCATTACCTGTTGTTTGAAGTAATTACACGCTGGATTATTTGAATAGACAAATGATTTTTCTTTAAATTATTTCGTCGTATGAATTTCGGGTGAAATAATTTTTCATTTTATTCTTTGCTTAGTCAAATATTTATTCAAATAATTTTAAACGTATTTTTCAATGTTCTAGTCATTTCTTGTCAATATCGTTGAATGTAGGAATACATATTTTCTTTGTTCTACAACTTTGATATTAAATTATTTATTATTTTATTTGAGCGAAGTAACTAAAATAAAAAGTTATTCAATTAGTGAATAATTTGAAAATAATTTATTTGAAGTGAATCTGTTATCTTATTTTAAATAAAATGTGCCCAACCCTGTTACATGTTATCTTTTATAAATGAGCCTTTGAAAATTTACAGTTCATCTTATTTGAGAACGATTAAGTGCTTCATAAGTAAAAATATAATAATAATGTTCGTATATTATTTAGAGATGGTTCATAGGTAGTATATTTACTTAGTTATTGTCAATAAAAGGACTACTTTATAAAATATTAGAAATACGCAAATTTTTAATTTTGTTTATTCAAGTATGTTAAGTCAGATTAATGTACATAAACTTTTTTAACTGATTATTTATCTTTTACCGTTAATGTATAATCTTCAAATACAATTACTATACTTTCCAATGTTTAGTAACGAAAATATTTAAATATCAAAGTTCATTATCTTTACCAACACTTAGTTTAAGAAGAATTTATAAGCCACTGTTTTATGTAGGTAAATTAACGTATGCAGCATGATTCTTGAAAATTATACTTTCATACCATATATGAAAATGATATCGTGTTATATCTTTATATGGAAATTAAATTACCCATGGAATTTCTCCGTATCTGCATACAAATAAAATACAGCGCATAATATCTTCTTTGACCCACAAAACTTTTGCAGTAAAAGGCTGCTAATATCTCTAATCTCTTACGCTATATTAAATCGTTCTCAAATAATAAGTAAACACAGAAGTTTAGTAATTACGATTCTTTCCTGTTAAAAAGTTTGCAAGTTTTTTTTGGTATGTTGTTGGTGGCAGCTAGGGGATTAGATGTTTAGATCAGTTTCTTTTTACGTTTGTCAAACGATTGTTTGGCATTGCATGATTCAGATATAATAAAATGATCGATATTAGTACATATAATATCTTTTTACTACAAAAATAACTGTTGCCTGAATATTGCAGCATGAAAATTCTTATTCTTTCTCTTTTCAATGACTAGGGTTAGAAAGTGTTTACGTTTGATCTTGTTTCAATTGCAGTACATTGTTGTTGTACCTACTCATAGATTGCAAGACTATAAAACAATTGTTAATAAAGTACGTTTTCTTTGCTTTTTCATGAAATCTCGAACAGTGAACACTGGGCTATTTATAACTTACATAACGATTTTTGTAATTATACATATACATATGTGTACATTTTTAAATTAATTTTTCATAAAAACAGTATTCTTTCGAATCACCAATGGATACTTCGAATGATAGTATTTCAAAATGTTTCAATATAGAGAGACTATATTTCAAAGAATAAATCATTCTTTGAAAATACAACATTGTATATAGTAGAATCGAGTATCTAGGCATAACATGTAAAAGGTGAGTCGAAAGTAACCCGAGTATCGATTAAACAATGATTAATTGTTGTTCAAAGTATTTGTTTAACATATTATGTGTATTATACAGTCACATGTTTTAATAGAAGTTAGAATACCTACTACATACATGGTACAACACACATTTTTTTACTATTTACCCTTAATATTTTGATTGAAAATTTTTATCAAATAAATACATTTGCACGTAACATTTGAATATACTATATCTTTTCGTATTCTACATTTCATAGAAGATAGTATCGATCACTTTGTATAGAATTACACGTATCAGTTATTTATGGTATCAAACATATAATTGGTTTATGTAACATTTATTTGTTACTGTTTTGATCCCCTAATTGTTCTTTGCAGTTCAGTTATTCTCATTTAATTATTAGCAGGGTTCACGAGTCGCAATTATAGTTGTTTAACAATTGTGGAAAATTTTTGTTTCTATACATCACTATTCATGTACGATGTAATGTGTTCAATTTTCAATTATTATCTGATACATATGAATTCTGTTTCCTTACATTTATAAATAATCGTACATCTGTACATACATATGAGCGTAAGGTGTCCCAAGAGAAAACACTAACACATACGAGTTTTTTTTAGGGAAAACTTGGAATTTATTCTTTTTATGGCATCTGCGGATATTGGGCCAGCTATGAAAATAATATAAAACATTTATTTACTCACTTATATACCCATAGATTTATGTAAGAATGGTATTACAAAAAAATTCAAGGTTCATATTTAATTATGACTAATTTTGTGGAAAATATTCTGCTAATATATTTCAGTTTGATTATATAAGATAAAATCACTATTAATTACTTTTTGTAAATGCAACTAAAATCCATCAATTTATAAATTTTGGAGATAATAAATTCTCAGGAATGTTTTTTACTGATATAATAAATTTTAATCATAGTCAATATTTCATCTGTACTCAATTAATAAATAATAAAAATAAATTTATAAAAAATATATAATATATAATAATAAAATATGGCAAACATTCAATGAAATTTCAATGTCTATTTCAAATTGATTGTACGAAAAAATAAAGTTTCCAATATGCATAAATAACAATTTGTTTTTGTCAAACTTGATCGACGTTCTTGCTTTTATACTCTGACCTCTTACTTCTATATTCAGTTCATACCGTCCTTGCTTATATAACCGAGTAATGTCACGAGTCATGTGTTTTGATAGCTTTAAGTACGAGCCGGTTTATTCAATATATTCTTCGTTATATTAATATTTCTTTCGTTCAGGTAACATTTCTTTCCTACTTTTATAGTATTCCCGCTATAATATTCGAAAAACGTTCGATTATCTATATGGAATATATATAATTTCCACTTTCATTTTTTTTGTTTCGTCGGCGAATAATTTTGTGCATTTATTGGCTCGTTGAGATGCACTCAGTAAATAATGCATCGTTAGTGTTTACCACTAAAGACGGACGCAGCAGTGAAAAAACGAAACACAAAAGTAAACATAACTTACTATTTTCTGTTGTCTAATAGAGTTTTAATCGAAATTGTCAGTATAATTCGAGATTAAATATTCCTATGTTTCAAATCTCATGGAAGAAGATTTTTATGAATATTTTTATTTTTTCCTTAATTTCCTGAAAATTTACTTGAAAAAAGTTGACATAAAACTATCGTTTGTGAAATTTAATATTAATTGAAGGAACAAATAATATTTCTTAAAAGAAGTGGAGATTTACACTTGGTTATATCGTAAAATACTCAAGCCAAGAATTTAGATTCTCAAGTAAAGATTTCACGCAGGCAGAATTTCATTCAAAATATATTTTGATTGCTAATTGATTCACGGTCTGATGCCTTTTTCCTGTGAACACGTTAATTTCTCTCGGGGCACCTTGAACGCGACGAAATATAAAGCTGTATCCACACTCGTTTGGTCGAGAGGTATAGCTGAATAGTATTCAAATTAGAGCCAGTCAACTTTTGTCCAGGTATATTTGATACCTGGGTATTCTTGTACCTATGAAATATTTAAGGAGAGTAAAATTATATTACCGAGTACCTGAATACCTGAGTACTTGAGCATCTGCACACTTAAATACCTAATTATCTGGGTACCTGACCATATACGTATCCGGGTATATGAACATATGAGTACCTGGGTGTATTAGTACCTGAGTATACGAGTACCTGATTGATATTTTGTCAGATTTTATAACTGGCTGTTAGAGCTATTACTGTCTGACCTATCGGGTACTCGGATACTCGAAAGGGTATGTACCCAGGTATGCAACAAATCCAGGAGTAGGTATGTTTTACTCAAATATAATTACTAAAAATATTTTAATTATATTAAAATATTTATATGAAATAATAGAAATAAAATAATTAGTTATGTGAAAATAAAACTCGACGAGTCGAGTAATAATAGTTCTAGTAGTCAAGTATAAGATCTTATGAGATACTCGTGTACTCGGGTACTGGCCATTTTATGAGATACCTGTGTAATTTTGCTCTAACCGGATATTTCATAAGTTACAGCTCTAATTAAAATCTGACCCCCGTCATATTATTACGCGTTCTTACCAGAACAACAAGCTGTACAATATGATTCAAGCCAGTGTGGATACAGCTTAACCCCTTGCCGTACCATTAATGATCTAGCAGAATCCGAAAAAAATTTCTGTTTACTGTAAGCAGATGCGTACTTCGAAAAACACTGATAATAGAGAAACAGATTTTTACTTCGACTTATGTGCGATAAGTAATATCGATTTTTACTAACCTCTTGTAGCCCGAACGATTGTAAATGATTTATACAATTTTTCAATAAAGCAAACCAACGTAAATGTTTAAAACCTTTTTTCAATTTGCTCTTTATGTATACATGTATATATTTTTTAGATATCCTTACTTTTTTATGCGGTTTTGAGAGGTTTAATTGAACTAAAAACGTTTACTACGAATCTCACTCGTCAATGTACGGCAAAGGGTTAAATGAAGCTCGAATATCGTGTTGTGTACGTAGTAAATCGTTACCCCTTGTAGTATGCCCTCGCTCAGCGTTAATGGAACCAAAAAGAAGGTGGTTGGCTTTGTCGACCAACTATCGCCCGAAAGGTATTCACCTAAAGTTGGAAGATCACTTGATGGCTAGTCTGATTGGTCAGTTCTCATCTGTTCTCGCCTTATATTCGATGCTAATTTGCTACTCGTCAATACACAGTTACACGTTACTAATTCGAACTATAAACAAAACACTCGGCGAAAGACTCCTCTTACCTCTGCGCCATTCCGCTAGACATCAAGTCATCTCCCAACTTTACAGTACAGATTCGTAGTCAAACCAAATACCGGTTCGAACGAAGCCGAACAGCAAACCGTTCGACCATTCGGTGAAAGAATCCTCTCCATTCGTGCATCATTGTTGCTTTTCGTGGCTTCGTTGGGATCGGTGAATGGCCTCGCAGTTAGTTTCAATGGTAATGAGTATTGATGTAGGCAATGGTTGCGAAGGCGAGAGAAAGCTCATTAATCCTTTAGAATTACAGAAAACGAGAGTCATTGGTCTTGCGCATCTTTCACGCAGAACGGGTAATTAGAAAAAGCCCAATAAGTGATCCATCGCGAAAGAAAGTTAATGAAATAATTCCTCTTATTATACTTTGAAGTTGGGAAAATTAGAAAAATTTCTATGTGCTCGATACAGTAATTCTCTTTTCTTTTTTTTCGATTTGTTTCGTTATAAAGATTTCTGCCGTAAAGGTGCGTATGTTGCTTTTATTCGTTACAGGCTAATTTTATGGATTATACGAACATTACGACGTTATTATTCAGCCTTTGTTATTACACATGAAGTCACATCGATTCAGGTATATTTAATGTACAGTTCAAATATGAATATAATAAAACCCGGTTATCTGAATACGAACTTCGGTTATTTGAATGAAAACTCGTAATTAGTGGAGAAAATTAGTTGACTCGTTATATGGACAGCTTAATTGCGCATACAACTTCTGTCGCAATTAGTTCATTAAATGGAGTTGTGTTGTCACTGATTAGTAACCATCAGCACCCCGTGTTTTGCTTAAAGAAAAATGAATTATACATTTATTTATGAATTTCGCTCTATGAAATCATGCAACATTCAACGCGTTAAAGGTTAAAGATTGATAGCAGACAATTAATATTTCATTTATATAAAAAGTAAATAAATAACTAGATTCGTCGAATTTGGTCGAAAGTTGCTAATCTAACTCGACATTATAGGAGAAGGGGTTAATGAAGCATTGTAATCACGTAGATTACCATGTCCACAGTAGTTAAAGTTACATACTTTCAAAGCTCCGATTATAGCAGTTAAGGGATGAAAGCGACTAGCTACAGGAATCCGGGCTGTCCAACTTTCCGAATTTACGGTCGCGTGCGGAACAATGGGCATCTTTGCGCGTTCACCGTTAAATCTTACGCTAAAGCGTCCGCGAGGGTTAATAAATTCCCGTCCGACGCGAAGCAGCGGGACGCAAGAAAGGACGGGGCAACCTTTCTTCTGGTCGACCGTGGCCGTGGTCGAGGAGACTCGTAGGAAGAAGGAAGTAAAAGCGAGCGGCGATCGTATTCACCGCAGGCAGCGCAGTGCGCGGCTCGAAGCGAGACTTCGTGTAACTCTTCGATGCGCCGCGCCGCGTGTTACTCGGGTTGCCTCTCTCTTTCTCTCTTTCTTTCTCTCTCTCTCTCTCTCTCTCTCTCTCTCTCTCTCTCTCTCTCTCTTTCTTTCTTTCTTTCTCTCTCTTTCTCTCTCCCCCTTGATCTACCGATTTCTCTCGGCTTCTCCGACGTTACTTCACTGCCTGATTGCTGACACTGTAAATACGCTGGGCTGTTGCGCGACGAAAGGAGCACCGGTGGCGGCCACCCTGGAAATGCCCAGCCGGAGCTCGGTTAACTCTCGGCGTTCGAGATTCAATCGCATCGCGCGGCTTTCGATTGCTTCGTTTACGAAGAACGGAGACGACACTGTGCTCCATTCAGCTGCTTTGAGTTTGGCTGTGTTACTTTTTTGTTCGCGAGGGACTGGGGTGCACGGATGTCTGGATTACGAGGCTGGATCAGAAAAGATTAAGTGGTATTGAACGAGAAACGACTGTTTTTTAACACCTTAATGACCTTTACTTTGATATTAGGTTTACGGATATTTATTGTACAATTTATTCAATTGGCCTAGAAAAATTGATATTTGTTCATTTGGATTTTGGAAATTAGTTATTAGTAAATCAAGATTGATATTTACCGAATAATGTTTATAAAATTCAATATGTGTCAAATTGACGCGTTTCGTAAATCTAGTGTTAATATGCATACTGTATTCACATGTAATATACTTAAATGATTTAAATGATTTAATTTGACGAGTGCAATCGAGAACGCTGATGTAAAGATCTATGTTGATTTCGAGCATAAATTAATGTAACTCCAAGTATAACGAAACTCGTGATCGGTCAGCAAGGTGTTAATTGTAATAAGGATGATCAGTTATTCACAGTTCATCTGCTCGGTCGGTTTTTCAACTGCGAGTGCATAACAATAGACCACCTATTAAGAATTACGTTTCTTTAAAATGAGTGTAATGAGAACGACGTAATGAGATTCCTTCCTGCTTTAATTTTAGATTTACAAAGCTCGACTTTAATTTCATAGAAGATCGCTCTGTAGTTGCAAAATATATCATCGATATTTCATTAGAAAATAACGAATGTTCATAACGAAGAATATCGTCGTGTGCAAAGGGTTAATTTTAGACACCGGCATATCAACGAAGGACAAGGAAGCAAAAAATTCCTGATTCGTCGCGCAATGATTATGACAGTGCACAGTTTCCCGTAGTCAGGCCGAATAAATCCGTCATGCCGGCAAATTGTTCGTATCAGAGCTGGACCGCGTCGGATACAATTACTCGGAGATAATCCATGGTTGGTTGTTTTTCTGTGACGCTCAGGGGGATGAAGAGTGGGGAGGGGAGGTTCATCCATCTCGCGCAGACTGAGCCAGAGGCAATTGCATCCAAGGAAATTACTATTCATTAGCGACCGTATAATCTCGCGTGCATCGATCGTAGATTCTGCGTTACATGCCGCGAGCTAGCGAGTCGACCAACGATCCCGACGACGCCAACAGTGTATACTGTGGAATACACTATGTATCGGAATATTCGTAGCGTGCTTTCGATTTGCTTGAAATAATCCACAAAGTCCGAAGCTCGTTCGAAAAATTTATTTATTTATCGCGTTTGTGAGGGTGTTGGAGAAAAACACGACGGACGCAATTTAATCAGTTCACTGCGGTCAACGAGTATACACGTCATCTTAACATTAGAACTACCAAACGGGTCAAAGTCACCCATTCCTGATTTCTTCTGTTTCAAATAATGAAATGATAACAAATGTTTCTCTGAGGAATCACTGAAGAAATTGTTTTCGTAATAGGCAAACAGAATTATAAATTAATCGAAATATGAGCAGATGCACTTTTAGCGTTTCTATGAAAAAATTAGAAAAACGCAATTCGATTGCTCGGTAGTTTTACTGTTAAAACGCAAAACGGTACTCACTTTTTTCGGTGATCAATTATTTATTTTTTTAAATAAACGTGTAATTCTTTGTTCGCTGTAGTTTTTCGTATTATACGCGATCCGAAGTTATTGTCACCAAATAAAAACCTTTGTTTTCTAACATGTCAGTATCATGAATTTTTTTCTTAAGCTATGCGAAATTTTCATTCATGTCAAATGAATCCTCGTGGAACGGACACTCCGTGTAAATGGAGAGACGGGTGTAAATATTTATTTAGAAGAAACAATTTATTCTTCAATGTGAAATATATGTTTCTTCGTTTCTTCACTTCTCAAATGTATATAAACAAAAGGTACTTGAGAAGTGAGTGAAGTGTTTGAAGAAATTTCATAAATTCATAAGAATTCTGTGACAAAATATTTTGTTCTATTTTGTGTTGAAGGTACTCGTGTGGTTTCATGGCTTACGTTAGGAGATCCATTCCCGCAGCTTGTCCGATCGCTTCGAACTCGTTCCGCATGCATCGTGAACAGCAGTCGAATGTGACTGTTAACTTTCGTAAATAAAAATTACTTGCAGAACACTTAGCTCTTAAATAATTTCTTCTCTGTTTGTAATTAACTTTTAACGCTTTAACCCTGTTACATTCTTCAATCTGATTATACGTGAAAGGTCCTTAAGATCAATTTTCTTGTCATAATGGTCTTATACGAATCAAACGAGCATAAGAACTTCTAAAGAAAAATATTTTAACACATATTATACAAATATATACTCTTCATTTGTAATAAACTTTACATGTTACACTTATAGTTGTTAACAAAATTATTCCTGCCAAGAAATCTGTTCGCCACAGCTTCAACTTTTTCTGAGCAGAATAAACGTTCTTATTTTAAAACTTTTTTCCACTTTCAAGAAAATAAAAGTTCCTTATTTATACAAAAATGTAGGTAGAAAATAGAAGTTCCAGTTAACATGCCGCATTCTATAACAGCTTTCTCAGAACAGAAAACATAATGGGTACCGTAGAACACCAATCATCCAAACTAATTGGGGAACAAACCGGATAAGCAATTTTTCGGATAATAGATGTTCTACCGTAGCGATGTTGTAGTTACCTACACTTATTTCATAACTTACCACTTAACCAATAAAATGGAGAAAGATCTTCCCTTTAGCGTATTGCCATTTATTTTCTTTATTTCTTATTTGATCATTTAGTAACTCTTGAACTGAGAATATTTTCAATTCGATAAATACCTTCCTTGCTTTTATAAAACACAGATTTTTAATCAGATTCGTTTCCAATGAAATTTTGTATTTTTTACAGATTTTTAATCAAATCTAAATTCCATTAAAGTGGATAAGAAAGATTATAGTTGCAGTTTTCTTTAGACGGTTACCTAAGTGTTCAATTTTAACAGTTTTATTATACAGTATTATTTATGAGAAAGTTCTAACAGTTTCGTTCGACCTCTGATCGCTAACGATCGGATGGATCCGCGACAGACGACCACGGTATCAGCTCGTCTCCGCGTGCACGCTTTCTATGACCTCTGTTGCTTTTGACCGTTCACTTAATGCACAAAAGACTCTCCCGTTCCGAGTAGAACTCTCGAGCGAATCGTCCGTGTTCCGAACGAATTACCCGCCGGCTTTAATGCTCGCTTACTTGTTTAATTTGGTTTGATTCAGCGTCCTGATGAGCGAGAAACGAGACTGAAGAGAAACGGATGTTAATTCAACGCGTACGCCGCCAGACGAATGTTTTGCTTGTCCGTCTGGAAACGTTGAAGCGGAGACTCTTGCTAGCCGGAGAAAGTAATGCAGCTATTCTTTACGAGAATAGCCCGGCGAACGTTTTTCCTTTCATTGGTTTCTGTTTGTTCGATCTGGTTGCTTACTTTCAACGACGAATGACGTTCTGTAAACAGACAAATAGAATATTTGTACGAAATGCACAGTTCGAACATGGTTATTGGATACATAATTTGCCGGCAGCACGTTTCCTGAGGAAATTGTGTTGGCTAGGTGTATAGACATGAAATAATTTGTTGACTATTATATTTATTTTAATCATTTTTAAGTTTACAATAATAGATATATTTGCATCAAAGTAAAATGTAAGCAAGTGATATTCTATTGTTATATTATACATATGTATCTTAATTGCATCGCAATGTTGACGACATGTTTTGTATAATTGCATGTAGATATACATATTTTATATTTATAAATGGTTATGTTTGTAATGCTATTTATATTCTTTTAATGTATTTGTAGTTTTACTAGAATATTCCCATAGGTACGCATTGATTTTGTACGATGAACTAAACAGAAAGATACGTAGAAAGCAAAATTTGTCCATCTGGCGAATTAAAAGAGAAGCGTTTTGAAACCGGAATTCGATAAACATCTGGTGAAAATGTTGAACTTGCGAGTCCTCTACCATTGGCATTCCCGTGAACCATTAAAATAAATGTCGCACATATGTTACAGGGACTGGAGGACAGTTAAAAAACATGCGAGACATTTGGTATCTCCACTACGTAGAATTTACGTATCCTGAGAAGTAACACATTTCCTGTATTCTTCAATAACTCAACCATTTATGAAACAATCTTCAGAAAATTTATTTACAATCAGTATCTATTAATACGTCCCTTAAAGTTCCTTAAGTATAAAGAACAGAAATGTTTTCTTCTTTTTCTACTATTTTCACCATTTCGAACACATTTCACCTATAACAGAAACTGCAGTACGAATAAAATAAAATATATAAACATATCGTAAATTCAAATTGGAATTCCTATGTAACTAAATAATATACGACAAGTAATACTATACAACTACAAAAAATTCCAAATCCTAAATCACACTAGCACCTGTCGAATCACTAAACATCAATACTCTGCTTCAACGTGTTCCTCGACATACCAACAGTTCTTTGAATCTTCTTCCGATTTCCCATCGACCCCGGCAATGGCTGCGGAGCGAGTATCAAATGTTCCAAACCATCGTAGTATAATTCAGTATGCATCTAATTCAGCCACAGACATATCAGTTGTTCGTCACGTGCGAATTTATGAGTGCGATTTTATACATATATAAACCTACGATTGATTCGTCGAAGGTCTTTCACCTAGCCTGCACGCCGCAATGAACAGCAGTCCAAAATGAAAGGCAGTTTGAGCGCATTGCTTTCACACAGACGTCGAAAACGGCTTGCATCGCAACCAAATAACTAGTCCCGTTGTTCCGAATGGAACTTGCCATAGAAGTTGTTTACCCGAGCCTGCACACCAGCCACTGTGCCTCACTGTCTCGAAGTTGAAAGGGCCGCTGTGTTTCCGCATTCACCGTATAATGTATTTACTTGCAGGTCGAGGACGGATTCGGTCAGATCGAAGTCCCCCCTGACAGCGTCGCCGGCTTCCCCAGGGCCATTGTCGAATTCTCTGCACGGCAGCTTTCACGGTAGTTTAGGCAGCGATGGGATGTCTTATAGCAGCGCCAGGTCATCCTCGGCGTCCCCAGACTCCGCAAGATGCTCGTCGACACCGGTAATCATACCAGCCATACCGACTAGCTATAAGTCGACTGTAAGTCGTCAGCAATATCATCTCAGATGTGTCACTAACACACGCGAACGCGAGCACGCAACTCATGGCGGAAAGTTACTCTTTGTTTGTCAAACAGCGCAGTTGAATCGTTAGGTGTGTATGAATGGCTCACTTGCCAAACCGATGAACTCCATGAAAGAAAAAGTGGAGGAAAGTGATGCAACAGCTATACAATGATTTTCTAAATTTCCCTTTAACACGTTGACTGCCACGGTGGTCACCGATGATCAGAGGTTGAAAATCAGAGCTTGAAAACAATTACAATAAGAAAATTGCTATCGAATACAAATATGTAGAAACATAAACAGCTAGATACGAGCGTAATATGAGTATTGTAACACCAAATCATTACTAATTACTTTTAATATCATTTGCCTTTACTACGAAGGAATAAATGTTACTATAACAAAACGCTCGAAACTCTCGTGGCAGTCAACGTGTTAAATGGAAAATTAAATAATCATTATAGAACGTCTTTGAATGGTATAACGTCTTCTCTAAATAGTATAACTGCGAAATAATTTTTATTATTACCGCAAATTTTGCGTGGGTAATAGAGTTTATGTTATTTTGTGGAATCACACTCAGTAATAAGGAAATTTAATTTAATATGAAAAGTTCAGAGCCAATGAAGCGTTTCAACGGTATCTTAAAAAATTCAAAAAGTGGAGTTAATCGATTTGGTAAGTCATTGCTAACCTTTTGGCTTACAATTTATTTTATGCTCAAATGTTCTTGCTTACGCTATCTGTCTACTGGAATTCTGGTTCACCGAATTCCAAGCGAAAAATCTGCTGCTTCGATTTCTTTGAAATATTTGTATTTTCATTGCAAAAAGAGTTCGATTGAAGTTCCAGTCGTATAGATATCAGGAGTGATAATAGATATATTAGAATTTTTTCAGCTGATAATAACCAAAGTCAGCGAAAATATTGTTGTGGATACATTATTATAAAGAAAATTTAAGTGTTATAGGATCTATTGAATTTATAAAATTTTGTATGAAAATAAGAAACTTAGTTTAGTTGCGATACGGAGGATTTATGAAATAATTTATGAAATGCAGTTTCGCGTGCAGAGCACGTTCAAGCGAGATCGTCATTTCTACTCAGGGGGTTAATGAATGGTTTGGACATGGTTTAGTTAAGAAACGGACTATGATCGCTAGACCGTGGATATATTCGTAGATAACAATTGAATTTGGAGAAAACATTATTTCATTACCCTTGGTGAAAGTTGTGGTTTCATTCTATTTTACATCTTACATAAAGATGTAAAATCTAAGGCTTTTAGATATGACTTATGACTATTCAGGATTTCTTTTAGGAGTATTGAATCTTCAATTCCTTTTTCCCAAATTATTCAATGAAGAATTATTGAGATTGAATCAATTTCAGTTTTGCTTAAGTTAACTTCAATCACGTCAAATCCGAAAGGTTTTCACTCGATAGTGAATTAATAATTAACTCGCAACTAAATGACACGACAGATGCTACACGAAGAAGTTCCTTTTACAATATTTATTAGGAAAACCCTTTTTCTATCGATTCTCCTAATTACATCCTTAAGTATTTAAATTTATCCATAGCCTGGTAACATTGCTTTTACTACTTTCTTTTTTACTTTTGCATCGCGAAAAATAAAGAAAAGAAACAGTTTAACCCTCTGTACTCGATTTATTTTCAATGTTGTTGGATGTAAACTTGTATTTACTTTCTGGGAAATGAATTAATGTTTTATATTTATTTTACTTATTATTATTATTACAAGGTTCAATTTTTATCATCTGTTAAAGTGTGGTACTTTTTACCACGTTAACCGTCACGAGAATTTTCAGCGTTTTGCATAATATTACTTGTTTTTTTCGTAACAAAGGAAAATGGTACTGGAGTTGGTTATTACCGGTTTGGTACCATAGTTTTTGAGTTGCATTAATATTTAGTTACTTGTGTTACTGAATATTTTAATTCGAGATCAGTTTCCTTCGAGTAATTGTCTTCAAGCGTTTTGGAAACGCCAGTCATCGGTAACCACCATGGCGGCCAACGCGTTAAACTACCACAAATAAACTATAACAAACTTGTATCCTCATCTCGAGCATCACGTACGAGTGCAAAAGGTTAAGTTAATTAATCACTTAATTTTATTCGACGCTTTGCTGTGCGAAATGAAATAAATCAAGAAGATGCCAATATATTGATATGTGACTTTCAAGTCACACGGACCTACAGAGGGTTAACTGGTCATCGTTAGAAGGGTTAGAACGGGAAATACATGATGAGCGCGCGCTCACGTTGGCACGTGACTCTTTTGAAAGACGTTTACCTACGAACCAGCGAACGACATCAAGGTACGTTGCCATCTGTCGATGACTCAGGACCGTTCCCTTTTCGAGAGACATGTCTGAATGCTGCTCGTGCATCGCCTCGGGAAATCGTTACTCTCGCAACGATGACTAATCTCCTTCGACAGTCAGCTTCACATGCTCCGGGTCCGATTTTTCTCTCGACTCTTGCTTTACGTTTAGCCCGCGCTAGGTGTTTCGCACCGCGTATCAGTTCGTTAGCCCCGACCTCAGTTTTCTGTTTGTTCTTTCTCCTAGTACGTAACACGCTCATGTTGACGTTATACTTTATTGATGAAAGCGAAAGGGTTTTAAAGTTCGTGGTACAGCACCGTGCCAATTTAGAGAATACTTCATGGACGCCACACAATGCGGCCAAACGGTCGTTTTCTGAACAAAACTCAATAATTTAAAAATTACGAGTGATACAGAAAAATGATTCGGACAACAGTTGTAAGGTATAGAGCTAAACATATAGTAATTATATTTTTTTACATAAGGGGGATATTAAGATTGTTATTTTCGAAATAAAGATCATATTGTGTAGCAGGGACTATTTAGCGACACATTCGTAACTTTCAATTTTCGTTATGTGAATAGTCGAATTTGAAGGTTCTGTCCATAGACAGCCGGACTGTGCTCCGCTGCAATGTATACTGGCTCATAGAAGTATTTTAAATCAGCAGGAGTATTTGAAATCGATGTATTTGTGATGATGGAAATGTTAATTAACACGTTGACAGCCACGCCGATCATCAAAGACCGTAGCTTCGAAATTACAAGAAAATAATTATAACTTGTAAGATAACTGGTGTCGAATAAAAATGGTCAGTAAATAACTAGACAATAGTGTAACGTAACAAACGCGATACCAAATAATTCATAATTCTTCTTTTCTATCTCTACTAGAAAAGGAATAAGTGATACATGAAACGCTATTTTTAGTGGCAGGCAACGCGTTGAACGTACTCACCGGATAGTAGATATTTTGATTTTTCCGTACGTATCATGTCACAAAAAAATGTTATCACACGATATTTAATAAACATTTTATAAACAAAGTGTGATAATTATATAATTAGATCTAAAAATTATCTCATGCATTTTTTATATTTGATAATACTAAAGAACAAATTTACTAATTAAATGAAATTAAATTTATTAGTATCTTAATTAAACCAACAGATTTATAACATTTTTTGCAACACCCTGTATATTTCCAATTGTTTTTAGCGATATACTGAATACTGCACAGAAGCCTATTTGATTATTCTTCGTGCATGTAATTTACTTTTATAAATATATTTCGTTTCGTTAGGTATCAATGATATTTATGACGTAATAGTTTTGTTGAAAAGAGTGGGCCATTTCTTCCAGACTTACCCTATACGTCATATATTATCGCGAAGTTATTTTTTTAAACTTCTCAGTGTTAATTTCATAACAGTACCTTATGTGGTTCAAAGGTTAAACGAAAAATATCATTAAATTCTTCGATCCGAACTATGTACTGTGCAGCATTGCTTCATTTAATCAGTTTATGATTGCTAAATGTTCGCATAGTTCATTCGCATGTAGGTAATGAAACGGCGGATTTAATTGAAGATCGGAACGAAGCGAAAGTTTTGGTCTTATTTTCCATTTAATAGATCCCTCAGTTCATAACAGACATATCGTATAATTAATTGCATGATAACTACGTGAGTAATAACTCAAATAATTACGTTTGATTCAAGAGTTCATTTTAAAAAGAATCGAGTTTGAGAGAATGTTGCTTCTTTATGGAGTTGCAGTAAAACACTACTATTAAATGCTAATATTTAAGTCCGCTGAAATATTCCTGTTAAAATATCTCCTGTAACTTAATGCGTTATTTCATAAATCAGTACAGTTTCTAAACAACATATAAAATAAATTTTCGGTGACACAGAACGTTTTAATAGGTTCCCAACAGACGAACTGTTAAATAACTGCATCTCCACTGAAACTTTATACAGTCGATAACAACTTTAAAAATTGTATTATTTCGAAGTCTTAAACAGAAAACTATTGTTTCACATTTTATTCTTGCCTTCACAGGCAATCTGTATCCGCTTGCACACGTTAATCCACCAGACACTCTATACATCCCGCTTATTTGCTAGTTTCCCACCCAAAAAATCTCTACAAGTTCATTCCTCGCCTCTGACATTGCCTTGACAAGTCTCCAGGATTCAACTCGAAATTCTGAGTATCATTGTTCTCGAGAAACGCGAATGCTACTCGACACCACGTGCAATCGTCCTGGCATCTGCAGCCGCGTTCGCCAAGAGCACAATCAACGGTTGCTCTACATTCCCGCAGAAATAAAAACAGAACTGTCGTGTACTGGCTCAGTCGCCGGAAGTACTTGAAGTTTGCACTTTTCCGGAGAAATTATCGAGCGGAAAATATAATCTTGTCAACAGTCAAAAGCATATGTTCGCGTTAATTCACGGAGGAGATTAATAGCGCATAGGAAGTCACCCGTTACTTTCACCTGCACATTTAACAGTTTCGGAGTCGGAGGAATTCCGGGAGAAACGTGTAACCGTTTTCTTCCTGGCTGTCGTGCTTGGAAATGATCGTATTGCGATAGGATGATGGGAAATCGATTCTGCCAGTCAGTCCACCACTCATTGACCATTCCGCATCTAGGTTATTAGGAACGTCATCCTCCTTATTGTCGACTACACTCGCGCTGTCGCGTAATTTCGTTTTGATCGCACGCGTGCTCGACTACACATGTACGTGCGTATTATCTCTACGTGAACGCGAAACGATCAGTGAAGCGATGGATCTTGTCGGCTTTCCCCGATTTCATCTTTGGGTGATACTTTTAGAATGCCGGAGAACAAGTTTTGAATTCATAGGTATTGCAGCCAGCCGACATGATTTATTTATATCGTGCACTGGTAATTACGCGTTTTTTGGTCCAATAATTAACGCTAATTTCGGACGCGCACTGAACTCGGTTCGGTCAGTGAATTCTTTGCGAATTTGATTTTTCTTATGCCAATTGATATGCGTGTTACGTGCATGGACTTGTCTAGCTCATTTTGCGATTACTTTTTGCGGTCTTGCGATTTTCAATATATATCTGACACTTGTTAGTCAGTTTAAAGTTTCTTTAAGCGTTTCAATGTTTGTGAGATGGATGTAGGAAATCTTTGAACCTTCAACGAACGAATCTGAAAATTGGTATATATTAATCATCAGTTTTATGAAATTTTAAGAAATTTACTGGTAGTTTCTTGAAAGAATTATGAATTACAAATTATTCATTAAATTCACGCAAACGAGGTAACATGTTTTTACAATGGTATAGCAAATATGTTTAAATAATCTTTAAACTGAACGGGACATTTATTCTATACTATTTTTCGAGTATTTTTGACTTCGTTAAGAAAGTGAATACTCTAAGACAGAGTCTAACTATGCTACGATAATAGGAATAGAAATGTTCTATACGAAACTCGTAAAAAACTAAGTTGGAACATAAATTTCAATTTCTATTGAGGAAATAAAATAGTTCCGCGATATACGAGCTCTCGTTATTGATACACAACTAATACCGAACGCTTGATATTATACATCTCTGTTATTTTAATTATTTCTAAATTAATATATTACTGGAATAGTAAGTTGGAAAGTAACATTTCGCTATTAAACTTTTAAAATAGATTTCTCTTACACGCAATATATTTTACAGTGTTTAAGCAAACGTATAATTTATCTGAAGTATAAAACAACGGTAGCGTTTACGATGGTTATGTTCGTACCAGCAGCCTTCGTTTGCAGCGTATTAACATTTAACCGTTAACTGGGTCATGTCTTAATCACAAACGCTGTTGTACGCGCAAACGAATGAGAGCTTCTAAAGTGTTAGGGACTGCCGTTTTCCCATCAATTTGATTACAATACTGGAAATATCTATTGCGCGAATGACGTGTTTTAATTTACTTCAAAATATTAATAATTCCAGAAACGTAAGCGATAGTAATAACGCGCGTAATAATAATATATGAGCGATGTAAAAAATCATTCCAGTGTTATGTAACAGTGAACAATGAGAGTACAATCGCTCGGAAATATGTACAGTAATTTATTTCATTTGTGTTTCGCAACATCGCCATAAGAAATTCTGTGGCAAAAAGAGAGGTAAAAAGGAATTAGATAGTTGAACACTGATCACTTAATGAAGAAATTAATTAAACCTCGATCAGCATATGATATTATACTAAATACGCAAAGTAAACTGTTAAGTAAATGTTTAACGGACAATTTAACAGAGCGACTAAAGGTACGCTTAACAGGAACGTTACACGTGTGTTTATTTTACAGTTTGATGTAGCACGAATACATTTCATTCTCATTAGATTAATTAACACAGTTTTATCTATTATGCGACACTCTCTGTGTGTTATAGATAACAAAGACTGACACACGTAAACCGTCTGTGCGCAGATTGGGGCCTCCTAAGGAATTCATCAACGTTTGTCTCGACACACACAATTACTTCCGCTCGAGGCATGGAGTACCACCTCTTCGTCTCAGTAAACAGGTAACACGATAGAGTAGACGACACAATATGATATCCTAGCGTACTGGATGTCCTACGTAACTGGGACTAACTGTGTTTTTCGAATGGTTGAAGATGGAATAAAAGTTCATTAGTTCTCACCGATGGTTTCAGATGCAACGTATTGTGCAATTCATTTTATGCTTTTTCATACGTTCGTATAATCTTAGTAGCATGATCGTTTTAAAAAATATGGTAAATTTTTCACGTTTAGAAAGCGTTAGTTTAAACTGTTTCGTCCGATGTTCGATGTAAAATGAGAGTAAGTACCTTAGTATTTTTTTATGTAAGGATAAATAACTCAACGAGTTAATATATACAAGACTATGTGTCAAAATAAAATTATTTTCATAATAATTATTTTATTCATTCGAAACCATTTAATTTGATGTAATGATCTTTCTTTTTAATTCTTTATAATTTGAGAGATGCAGCTAGCTCTAGTTGTGCGGGATATTCTATATACAATTTGAATTTACGAACTCTTTCGATAGAAAGGATGGTATTACTTATAATTAGTGACTACTTGTCACTCAACATTGAACGTTCATTGTACCCTCTTTAGTGTAGTTATCCACTGTGACGCAATTACTGCGCACACAAGCATATTGCCTTCAAATATTAGCCTTTAACGAGTAACTTACGGAACAACACAATTTTTCGAATGATAGAATAATCAAAGGTTCAGTGTATAGGTTTGTAAAAATTGTCAAACTGATACAAGACCAGCCTAATTGAAAAAAATGTATGTAATGTCTAATAAGCATTACATTCAGATAAAGATGTATATCTATACAATATAATTATCGTTACAAATTTTCATGGTTTACACATGGTTGGACAGAAAAATGTTTCGAACAATAGTTAATCTGCTTTTATTGTGCTATAAACTGCGATTCCATTGGCATTATGTATCTGTCACGTTGAAAACGTCCTTGCTATCACAAGGAAACCACGACTTTTTATTGAAAAAAGATATTTTCTGGTATTTTTCATATCGCAGTTCATAGCTCAGTAAAAACAAATTACTTTTTGTTTGTAGTATTTTTTTGTTCGATCATTGGAAGTGTGTACACGAAAAACCGTGTCGAGAGTTATAGTCATTATATATCCTTCATATAGAGAGCCTATAAAAGTTTTGTAAAAATGGTCTTGGAAAAGAATTCTTTTCGCTAGCATTAAATGTCCTCCTTCATATAGCGAAATAGTTGTTCACTAGAATTAGAAATAAAATCTTGCGACGCAAGCTTGAATAATAAACTCTCTTATCGTGCTAAACATATTCAACTAAATTTCAGTTACATTTTGAAATCGAATTTCTCACTAACGAAAAGACTACAGAATTATGTACCGATTTCACTGATTTTTCTAATATATAATTTAATTTATACAGCTATTAACTTCTGGAAATCGATAGATGTGCACAGTGTTCATATATAACTTTGCCGTATCAGGTTCTTACAGTTTTTATAGAAAAAAACAAGTTTCTCGTATGTTTGACTTGTAAATTATATTGTGAAAACCGGTAATTGATTACTTTTTAATTTGCAGTTATGTAAAACGAGTCAAGATTGGGCCAACATACTGGCGACCAGAGGTAGGTTAGAACATAGGGCGAACATTGACTACGGTGAGAACTTATACTGTATGTGGAGCTCGAATCCTAAGACCGTTGTCAGTGGCGACGAGCCTGTAAATGAATGGTAAGTAAATCATAGATTTATAATCATAAATATTGTTATATGTTAATCCTCTGCACTCGAAAGGCAACACTCAGTCGTCATTTGATTTAACACAGGAAAACTGTGAGATTTAAAATTCAATATTAAATTTTAAATAAGGTATCAACATACGAAACATAGAAGTAAAATAGTTCAGTCCCTTAATTTATGCAAGATTTTTCTTTGCCTTGAAAATGGTATGATCTATATTTCATCAGGAAATAATGAATATTTGTAATGAAAAATACTATCGAATGTAAAGGGTTAATATCATAACAGACTTATTAGGTTTTACGCATCGCATGCAATATTTATATGCAGTCACCACTACTGCAAATGTCCTATTCACAAATTTTAAACTATTAGCTTATTTCGAACGATTTGACAGTTCATTTTGACAAATAATACTCTGGCTAATATAAATCAAATCCTTGATATTCAATAACACAAACAGTTAGTTTCCATATGAGAATTAGGTCAAACATAGATATTTTAACATTGGCCTCGTTTTATGCGAATATTTAAAGAGCAAAGTGTATCGTAAATGTGAAAACTGTTAGATAAGGATTTATTTGTCTCATAAAAACGTTCTACTAATACTCTACAGACGTACGCACTTATCGGAAGTTAAATTCGCTGATAACGTCCGTAACATAATGAAACGGTAAAACGTTAGCATAGATCATTCGTCGTTTATGAAACTATTCGTATATTTTTCCTTCGGATTTAGAGATTTTTGTAACTTCCCCTTTATTTTTTAAGCAATTATCGTTTGAATAAATCGTTAAAATAAATTATTCTTATTATCGTCTCGCAGGTACGCCGAAGAAGCGCAACATCAATATGGAAAAGAGCCAACCACCTTGAAAACTGGTCACTTCACTCAGGTCGTCTGGAAAGACAGTACAGAGTTAGGTGTCGGAATGGCCAGGAATCGGAACGGTGAAGTTTATGTTGTTTGCAACTACAACCCAGCCGGAAATTTTCTGGGAAGCTTCACAGAGAATGTCCTTCCGCCGGGTGGTTCAAGTCCTAGTAAAAAGATTTCTTTTCTACCGAGATACACTATGGACGATCAAGCATGGCAACAAGAAGCTTTGCTCGTCCACAACGAATACAGGAGGCGACATCGAGTACCAGACTTGAGGCTAAACGCCGAATTAACGGCTGCAGCTAAGGTATAAATTAAAATAGCACACCCTGTATGTAGGTCCATTGGACGTTACGCCCAGTCTTTTTATTACCTTTCATTATGGTTTTTTAAGGGTTCAATAGTAGAGTTAATTGTTTTATTACATTGATATTGTATATGTCAGTATTTTTTTTGTATATTGACATTATATATTTCAGTATTTCAGAGAAACAAAAATTGTTTAAATCGTAATAGTCTTCAATGTACAGTTTATAAAATCTGCTTTGTTCAGGATTTAATTCTGTTTTATAAATATTACTGGGAATCGTATGAGTTTGATTGCTTGTTACCATGTAGTCGTAACTTCAACTTGGATGAGATTGATCGAACAACCTCGCACGAGAGTAACGCTCGATTACAAATTTTTAACCATCAACAGGCGTGGGCGAACACGTTGCTGAACACGAACAAGCTGATCCCACAATCATCGTCTCCGTACGGAGAAAACATCTATTCGATGCAGTGTTCCGATCCGAAGCTAATTGTACCGGCACGGGAGGTAGTTTCGAAATGGTATTCTGAAAAGAAGGATCACAAGTTTGGAACAGAGCCAAAAGTCCTAAATACATGTACGTAGAATGTGGTGTAGAAAGAAATGCAGATATTGATTTTGATAACGGTACTGTAGAAAGTTACACTATTTAATGTGTATAGTTTATGTAAATAATCTTTGCTTATGTCATAGTTTAATATAAATAGTCCTTGTTTATGTGATTTTTATACGTTTTCACGTTACACATGTTACATCAAATACTTTAGTATAAATTAAGAGGATTC